AATAAAGCCCCAATACCTCCCTACTCCTTTGACTCTCATGTCTGATATACCTTGAAGGAGGAATCTCTTTGAAGGTCCATCAGTGAAGCAAGCTGTGCCACTTCTTATCATGGCTGGGCTCCATTTTCAAGGCAAGGGAAATTCCAGCGAACTTCAAGATCCATCAAGGTGGTTTAGCTCTTACTCATCACCCTCCTGGCATCCAGGCTGGAAATTCTTAATGTGATTAATTCTGAGGAAACAATTTTTGTCCTCCTCAGCTTCAGTCACAATCCCTATAGAGCACAAAACCTGATGATCGGGAAGGGGAGGTTCACTAAAAGCTCCCCTATTTATAGCTGGAGTGAAATGGCATGGCTTTGTCCTTGGCTTGTGATTTCATGGAACATGAATGTCTCTTTATTGCATGGCAAACAGAGACAGAACAATTACAGAGATCCACAATAAAAACACTGAAAAGAGAGAACACAAAACTTGAACTATTGTGGCAGAAGTAACATCTCATATGCTAGCTATGTATGGTCAGCCAGGAGGAATGCCTGCTAACATCTAAGCAATTCTGTTTTTCTGCAAAGTCTCTGGCATCTGGTATGTTATTAAGTAACTCAGTAGAGATCTGTTAAATATATAACCTCACTGCACAAAGGATACATTATCTTACTAGCTTTCTCTCTTTAATCCATACTTTCCTTTGATACTTGCATGATCCACAGTTGCAACCATGATTTTGCAAACTTGATTTAAATACTTCAGCGGGACAAACAACTCGCTACCAACCTCAAAGTTTATGGCGGAAGTTCTGCTGATCTTCAGACTGAAATTTCCCATTGCTTTCCTACAAATCCTAATGATCTTGGGCTTACCTCATAAGGTACAATTGAAGGTTTTACTCCAAAAGGTCTAACTTCTGACAAAAGGTAAGGATTAAGGTTGACCAACCATGGCAAGTGACTATAATGACAGAAAAAGATTTATCAGATGGCAGGACTGAGCCATGTTTTGTTCCCCCTGGAGTATGATTCAGGGTGGCATTCAGAGAAAATGATAGATGTCATGTCACCAGATACATGTCACTAGAGTAGTAGGGATCTCAGAATGGAGGTACCAGCTCCTCATATTTCCATTGTCACAAGGATAGGTCTTCCCTAGAATCAGAAAAGATAAATAGAAGAGCATGACTTACACAAATAACTGAATCAGCACAGTAAGTAGTGAAAAGTTTGTGGCCTCCTCAGCTTTTATGCGCTTTTGCTTGCACAAGTCTCACAACAGAGGACGACTTTTACAATAACCATAAATCCCAAAGTCTTTTGCGTATGGCATCTACCATCATGGTGAGTGGAAAAGAAAAGCTGTAGATCTCGGTTCTATCTGAAAGAGTGCCAGTGGCAGCTGGTGTCAAAGCAAGTGAGTAGCAGAATTTGCGTGAGTGGACATGGCAGCTCAAAACTTGTTTTTTCCTGAGACAGAGAAGGCAGGCTGTTAACATTCAGCCCTTGTCTCGTCCTTTTTCTCTCAGCAGGTTAAACGGATCTAATTATCATGTGTTCATTATGAGGAGGGAGAATGCTGTAACTATACAGGTAGTTGGCTATAACAGTGACCAGAGAAGTGGAACTGGCCCTGAATAATGCAGGAATTTAGTATCTATCTTATTACAAATGCTGCTGATTTGGCTGTAGAAGAAAGAAAACTAACATAATTAAAATAAAATATAAGGAAAAGAAAAGAAAGAAATTGCCTTTTACAGCCCCACGTTCCTACTCCTTACTGTTCCTACAACAAAAAATAGTCATGGTGTTTGTAAGAGTTATCTGCACCAGTATTAAATGAATCGGAAAAGGATCAAAAAGTTAAATATATACCTGCTAACAGCAAGGATCTTAATGTATCCGTAACTGATGTAGGGAAGGAGCTGTGCAATTAACTCTGAGTATGGAGTGATTGAAAACAGCTTGCTCAATACATCTGAATGCTTTTCCTTCAACATGGCATATTTTCTTAATAAGAAATATTGTATCATACCATGTCTGCAAGAGCTTCTCTTTGTTCTACCACAATCCATGGTTTTAATACTTCCATTTGCATACATCAGAAGACCTTGATATAAGGCTATGGAAGTTAAAGTGATCCTTTTTGCTCACTTCCTTAGTGTTTAAATCAGACTGTAGATAGTTTTGTCTCCCTGACATTTGCTTTCATAGAATATTTGATTTTTTTGTTACTTCCTTGTGTATTGCAGACACAGCTAAGTGGAAATCTCTGCTTCTCGAGTCAGGGGAGACCCACCTTCTGGGACTTTATCTTAACTAGAAATGATTGTCTGGGTTATTCAGAAACCTTTCTGTAAATAACACTCCTGACAGATGCTTGCATAATTAGAGTCCCTCGTGAATATGATATATTGTGGCTTAGGTTAAAGTATTAATTGATTTGTGAAATATTCTAATATCCAACTGGAAGGTAGTTTATGTCCAATGAGTTTATCTTTGTTTTTTACTCCTTGACTTATGTTCAGATAAACTCATTACAACCCTGTTAATCAATGTTTCCTTCTAATAAAATTGTACTCTTCAAAATCTATTTCAGTAACAGTAAGAAATATCCTCTACTGCAGGGCATACATAATTTGCTCATTTAATAATGATTTTAAAATGTTTAAAATCTAAACAAAACAACAAGTTCCTACTCTTGTATTCAGGTGTGATTTACCCATCTTTCATGATGAGACAGGTTTAACAATTATATAAGCCCTTGGGCTAGTATACATGAGCATTAAAGTGAATTATGACATGATCAGACTGCTAAGGAAAGCCACAGTTATTTTGCAGAAATGGGGCCAAATTCTGCTCCCCTGTAACTGATTGTAATGATATAGGAGTCAGCAGAGTTACCTTTCTGCAAAATTTGCTCTATGCGACCTAATGTAAGCTTGAGATTATAACACTGTCATACTTGTACTCTCTGCTGCCAAGATAATAACACTGAAAAAATATGGTAATTGTTCAGCTTTACATTGCAAGTGCACCTATAACATGCTGTAAAACAATGGGAACAAAACAAGAGATGACTTGAGCAAACAGATTTATAATATATGTGGTTTCAGGGTGCAAAGCATAAAGAGGGAAAGCAAGAGAACTCTATAGCTACAATAGTTTGACCGAAGATCAGAGAAGTCAATGGGAGTCTTTCCATTTTTCTTTCGGTGAGATTTAGATCAGATCCCTTTGGGGAGTCATAATGAAGTTTATTTCCATTATAAATATACAGTTGATATGTCAAATTATACTACCGTCATGAGAAAAAGATTACAAAGTCACAGCCCAGCTGAATTTCACATGAAAAAATGTTACATTAAGTTACTTTTGCCAAATTCTAAAGAGGATGACATTTGACAAGGAAAACATTCATACTTCTTAGATACAATCGCTAGATTTTACTCTTTCTGTGGTAATAAGTCTACTGCATTCACTAATGAGCAAGCTGTTGCTCTTAAAGATTGATCCTTGCTGACCTCTCTCTGTATCTTCCTCCTGATCTTAGCATATATTTTAACAGGAGGAAAAAACTTTTTGCTCCAAAATATTCAACTGCTAGTGAAGACTGAATAGGTGTACTAGTTACAACTAACTCATCTTGAAGTAAAAGTTTTTTGTTGTCTCCAAGGATTTCTTATTTCGATGACTAGTTTGATTTATAAATTAGCTTCAATTTTTCCTCTAATGAAGACAAAGCATTATTGCAAAGGTAAACTCTTTTTTTATACTCATAAGCTAGACTGTCTGATTCATGGCTTTCATTCCCTGAGTGTTATATGTGCATAAACTATACCTTAGGATGAACCACAGGTTTTGTGAAGACCTCTTTATTTAAAAAATGAATAATACCAACGAATACTTTGTTAATTACACAGAAAATTTATATGGAAAAGAGCCTTTGACAATATTTACATCAGAATCTGTTCTTTTCTTTTTGAAAAAGTAAGTAATCAACACGCTTTAATCAAGCACTCAAAATTCAGAGTTTTCAACCATTTCTACTCATAAACATAATTTGGTTTTGGTGGGTGGAATTCTCATTAGGCTCTGAGCTGATTGACATGTTTCGATAACTGCAAAACAAAGTCAAAATCTCAGCAATGTGAAAACAAACACATTTGTTTATTTTCCAAATAGACCCTACTGACTTTCTCTTCCCAAATTAAAAAACATTCTAATTTGTACTGAGGAATTTTATATGCCTCTAATTTTGAGGGATATAATTAATTTTGATTCTAGATTAATAAACTCTCCATATATTTTATATTCTCCCATTACTGTATGCACTGACAGGTTGTAAAGAGGACATAACAGAATGGAGTCTAAGAAAAAAATTACAGCAAAGGGATGAAGGAGTGTTTTTTATCTGTCTGTCTCCTAAAGTCTTCAGATGGTGACTAGATGCCTACAGATAAGACATTTTTAATCAAGGAGTTAGAGAACTCCATAGTTGAAATGACATCGAGTGAGTCATAACTCAGATCATCTAACAAAATCTTCAGTCGTTAGAATATACATCCTTCTGAATACAAATAGAAGTTTTCCAAGAGCCAAAGACTAGATATTCCTAATCAGTTATTTCAGTGGGAAGAGGAGCTTCAGGGGACCAACATGTCATTTTAAAAGGACCTAAATATTAGAGCTGACCTAGGGCAATGTGACAGAAGTTGCTGGCTGAAATTCTGGCACCACTGAGCCCAAGAGGGAGTTGGAATTCAGTGGGGCCATGTTACCACCCAGTGTGTCGATGGGAAAATTGCCAGTTTAAAATTAGAGAAAACTATATAAGATATTTAACCCCAGGAAGCAAAATAGAAAAGGTATTCCAGTCCCCAGTCCCTCATCTCCCCTCAAACCCTCTCCCTCAAACCAACGATACGGGCCAAATGAGTGACATCAGATTTACTGGTCTGTCTCACCACAAGATGTATGTGAGGCAAGTCTCAGCAGAAGGTGTGTGAGTTCTTTTTACTTCTAACATATAAAATGGGTATCTAAGAGAGTGAGATATTACATAGATTGGATGAAACAAAGTTCATCAGTAGGTTCACAACATCACAGAATGTTTAAGGTTGGAAGGGACCTCTGGAGGTCATCTTGCCCAACCCACCTGCTCAAGCAGGATCACCCAAAGCAGGTTGCCCATGACTATATCTCGATGGATCCGTTCCACATAAACTTCCAAGGACATACTCCACTCTTCACCATCAAAATTCAATGATGATGCCGTCACACCTTCTAGGTTTGCATTTCTAGGTGCAAACTCTTCTCTAGCTTTTTCAGCACTGCTGTTTCTCATTCGCCCATGGATTTTCCAGCAGGAATTGTTTGACATGCGGGTAGTTAATAACCCCGCAGTTGCTACGAGAGTGTAGTTCTAATGACAGGAAACAGGAGGAAGAAGGGGGTACTTTTGGAGTGTTTTATTGTAATTTAAGTAGGTTTCTAAGATATGAGAAGATGGTAATCATGTCAGAGGTTACAAGGAGTTTCTGTGCAATCGCAAATCCATATTCTCCATCCTAACACAGGGTCTGGGAGAAGGGCAGCCAAAGGTAAGTGGCAGAAGCAGGAGGAGTAAGACAGCTGTTAACCAACTCTGGTTTGTCTCTCCCTCTTATCAGATCATAACTTCACAGTAGCAGCTTCCACAGCAAAATCCTTGTAGCCTTTCCAGATTAACTTTCAAGCCTGACTCCCTAGACATGGGAAATTTCAGACACACAAGAGCAGCAAATGAAGCAGAGAAGTTCTTCTGGTTGTGACAAACTGCATGGGATCCATCTCTGATGGAGCTTGGTTTCCTTTGCATAAAAGCCCTGCAGGTTAATGGACTAGGTTAATTTGTCATTAGGTGTTAGGAAAATCCTGACAAAGATCAAGTCCATGCTGTGAATGTTTGATGGGCACCTGTCTGTGTTTTTTCCAATTGGCTAAGGTTTCCACTGATGGACATGTATTTCAAACTGCTGTAAGGTCAATCTGCACTCAACTATTTCATGCTGGTAGAAGTGCCAAGGAATGTCACTGAATGAAATAATTTGGGATACAACATGGTGTAACAGTACACAATTGCTCTGCTAAGATTATTTCAGTTTTACATCCACTTATGAAACTACAACAGAAATCTGTCTACTGGTAAGATTTGAATTTTTTATTTTTTTTTTTCTTGTCAACTAGCTTTTTCAACATTTTAGATGGTATTTCCTGTTTTAATACATCCTGGGTTGCAGTTCCCAGGACAGAACGAAGAAAATGGGCATCAGTTTAGACTGTCTCTGCCAGGAAATATATAATAATGCTGTCATTCTTAAGAAAACTCTGCAGCAGCAGGCTCAGACAGCTACAAAGTAGAGCACATGCATGGATTTGTCATCCTGCCTTACTCTTAAACAACATTGGCTTCTTTGTCAATTGTGAGGAAACAAGCAGGAAAACCCCTTGGAGTTGAGCCACACATTTATTTGTTCCTGAGCTCCTATAGCAATCCTGGCTGCAACACAATCCTTTTTTTTAGAAAGGAGAGGTGAGCATCTGTGCAACTTGTTCAGAAAAGTCAGCAGGTACGTTTGACAAATGCATTTTCTTGACACATATTGACTTGTGACAGCCAAGGACAGGATGTATGTGACTGCATAAATGCGATGTTCATGACAGATTGTGAGTGCTGCTACTTGTCCCTTACAGCTCTGCTTCTGGTATGAAGACGCCATCCAGTATGGGAGGGATCCATGGGCCAGAGGCGCCCTACTACACTAGTGACATGGAGGGAAGCAAACCTTGGTGACTAGGTGGCCAGAAACATCCTTTTTGCTCTTCTGCATTAATGTCCACCACCATGTTTCTATTCAAATTAGTGATTTAGTAAGACCAGGTCTTCCATCAAGTTTAGCCGAGTGTGACAGGTCCTCCTGAGAGGGGACAGATCTCACTCTGCTCCACTTCCTTCTTTTTCACTATAGTCAGATTATGAATAGGTTCAGCTCTATCTTTATCTTGTGGCCAAATGAGTTCTAGACCTAGGGACTGAAAGTCCTACCAGTTCCCACAACACCTGTTACCAGTGTGCCAGTGGGAAGAAGATACCTAAGAAGTCCCATTATTTGGTGTTGTAGATCATTCAGTATTTTTGCCTTCACCTTCCTTTGTGGGAGATATCATAAAAATATTTGTTTCTAACTGCAAAGAGAAATACATTTTTCTAGTAGATTCTGTTTTTATTCTTAGGCCATATATGGGAAACAAGGCCCAGTGCTCAAAGATGCCATTTAGGTAGTTGCATTCCCCATCCTAACCAGTGCCAGAGACTTGGTCATCCCAGAGGCTAAGGAGTACTCTGATGAACTTGTGACACAGGCTGGTGGTGACTTAAGAAACATGCTCTACAAGTCTTTATAAAAGGGTACAAGCAGTCTAAATCCTGATGCAGGAGCACACAGACAGCACCCCAGGAACTGTACTTACACTGACATATACACACAGCCTATCCAAGTGCTTTATGAGGGGGATGGTGGTATTTTTAATGCCTCCTGGCAAGCACATGTTAAGAGGTTTGGTAACCCAATATGAATTCTAAAACGTACAACCACATCTGTGTCAGCCCTTAATGAGAAAGTGCCTCTTAAGTATTCCAATAAAACACCTGCAACATGTATATTGCCTTTAGATAATCACATACCTCCTTGTAATAGCTACTTTGCTGTTTAAGTTGATGTGGTTGCAGCTTATGGAGTACGAAAATTAGTATTGGTAACATTACTGCTGTAAGTCCTGTTGGCAAAACACATTTCACTTAAAAAATGAATGTCACAAGTGGTGGATGAAATCTAGTTGAGTGACGCAATTCCTTACACATTAGCACATACTTTGCCCAAAAGAGAGCTACCCTATTTTACAGAAAATCTGCAAGGCAAGGGAAGGAAATACCCTCTTTCCTTTTTGGTGCATTAAGAAGGCTTGAGATTTCCCCACTCTCCCACTTCTTTCTAGAAATCCAACTGCTGTTAAAGTCACAGGCAGGACTGAATGTCTGTTTCCAGACCTCCTGAATAATGGGAGATTTCTGTGCGGTGCCTCATTGGAAACCAGCAACAAAAGATTACTAAGAAAATAAATGCATTTAATAGCACACATAGCTCAGAGAACATTTGATGAAGCAGGCTGGCTATTTTGCTTTCGCTTTTTCACCACAGATGTCCCCAGGAAGAGTGCCCAGAGCTACCAGAGAACCCTGTAAAGCAGCTGAGGACAATTGCCAATATTTAGGCATAATTCAGGTCATCTCATACTAAAAAAGAGCTCAGGATAAACTGCATCAAGTGCTGCCTTCTCCCCTTGCCCAGCCTCTCTTGGACCCCCACAACATCATGCCACTGAATATGCTCTGTATCACCCCTCCACAAGATGCTGTAGTGTTCCAGAGCTCCCTCCCATCACCTTCACAGCTAGTCCGAGCCTCCATTTACTAGATTAAAATAAATAATCATGATAGAGAATACATAACTAACCAATTGAGGTTTAGAAAGACCAGCAAAATTGTCACAGGGCTAAGAAGCTTTACATAGCTTAGGTTTGAAAAAAATTGAAGACATGAACAACATTCAGCTTCCGATCCTCCTCTATTCCTTGCTTAGTCTCAGTGAAACAGACCTTTGCATCTCTCTTCTCTTTTAGATTTTATAGGGTTCCTCACAAATCTTGTATTTTCTGTTGGGTGAGTCCAGCTCTGTTCCCATTCGGCCTCAAGGCTGGACTATGGAAAATATCTTCTAAATCTTCAACAAGTATTTTTCTTCCCATTAACAGTTTCTACTCCTCTCTTCCCGCAGGAAACAATTCATTAAAGATCAAGAAGAATTTAATTCAAATAAAGATTTTCTTTACAACATTTCTCCCTCTTTTCCCTCCCTATCTCCACTGCGTTATTTTCAGTGTATTTTATTTTCACCAGCTGGACTATCCTCTCAAAACCAGCTTACTAACTCTGTAGCACCATCAGTGTTAATGGAGTTATCCTATATTTGTAGGGTGAGTAAAGCTCCCAGGTTTATACCTCTTTATCATTTAACCAATAAAAGCTTCAGTTTATGGGTTCTGTAATCTTTCAATCTTTCCTTAATAAGGAGTACTTCTGCTTCTTACAAAAATCAGGATTATGCAAGAATAAAACTTTCTTTTGTCTTTTTTTCCAGGTGTCCATATGTCTGCAACAGGGAATCTGGCCAGCTCACAGAAACTGCCTCTCCTCCAAGAGCTGCATACTGAAGCAAATTCCCAGTTTATTGAAAAATAGTTTTGCTATTTTGCCATCTTGTTTGTTCTGCAATTTCCCTTTTTTTTTTTTTCTTTCCCCTTTATTTATTTATTTTTGATTTTGCCTCTGGGTTTGGGGGGAAAAAAAGAAGGAAATGGAAATGAAAAATAAAACAGAAAACCAGCAAGAAAGTCTTAATTATACCTTTATTTTGGGCTTTGTGCCATTTCCAAACCTCTGTAGGAATTGATAACAACACCCCCAATACTCAGAAGAGCTGTTTGCATGAAGCTCACAGGAGTTTCCAAAAAACCCTGAAGACCTTAAAGTACATTATAAAGCTTCCCTTCAGCTTCTGACCGAACTACTTTAACTTCACTGTTGCTTAACTCTTTTCCAAAGTAAATTACATCAAAGCTGGAATGGCTAACACTGCCCCAGAGTTTAATGTGGTCCAAATGCTCCATTTCAAAATGTAGGTTAGTTGTTGAAGTTTTCCTGAATGGCTCCCGAGACAGCTTTTCAATTCAGTGATGGATTATTTTTTGTTTGCTTGTTTGCCTCAGTTTATAACTTCCAGGATGTTTTTCTAGATTTTGAACATAACACTCAGTTATGCAGAGATCCAGGAAACTGGACCTTCAAAATAAAGGAAAATGTTATAGTCTGTGACTTAGATGATGAAGATGCTGAGTTGGCCATGGCAATTTATTACATATTTTTAATTATACTCCATCCTTCATTGTTTTTTTGAGGGAAAAGATTAACATACAGAAAGCAGAATGCCTTATCTCCTCTTCTTTGAATGCTATAAACAAAATTACAGAATAATTTATTTTTTTCCTGGTATACATTTGTGAAAAAATTGAAAAGACTGTAATACTTGGTCATGAATCATCAAAATGGCACCCAGACTCCCTGCCCCAACACAACAGACAGTTACGTAGCTATTTGCCACTTCACTTAATTGAATTTTGCAATGCAGTTTCACAATGCCACTTTCTACTGCTTCATTTGAACCCAGCTGCTTACTATTTATTGTATCCCAGTTAGGCTTCTGAGAGGAGACTTTCAGTTCTGCCCACTCCTGGCTTTTCGTAATCTTTCACCGTACTACCTCTCCTCCATGCTCCAGGCTAAGCTATCTGCACAGCTCATCCAGGGATGTTGTTTGAGTAAGGGAGTTATGCCTCCCAATCATAACACATTCTTACCCTTTTACATCATGCAGCGAACTGACAGCCTCATTCAGTCATCGTCAGCCTTTGGTGTCTCTTCATTGCACAATGCTTATGGTTTTAATACGGTCTCTGTGTTTTTCCTGCTCTACCATAGAAGAGCCACAAAGACTTCTGTCCTCCAGGAGCAAAACGTGCTGTTTTGGTAAACTTTTCAACCCTCCTCTCTGAATTGCCATAGAGCTGAAGGTGGGAAGAGCTCATTTTGTCTTAACAGCCTGAGCGGGTTCAGTAGAGGACTGGGAGTACAAGTGTTTGTGGAAGGAAGAAAAGCAAAAAAAGGGTATTACGGAGAGCTGTGATGTCATCCAGATCACAGCCTATTTCTGGAACTAAGCTGTGAAACTCATGATACATTTTGACACATAAATGTTGCCAAGTAAAACTGATAATATAATTGTTAATGCGGTCACAGCCAACTGTTTTTCAGATAAGGAGTTAAACTCTCCTATGCAATATAGTATTTGTGGAACGTAGCACCTAGCTGGTTCCATGCTTTCATTGGCTCTGGGATTACTTACTATCATATTTAAATAAAAAGACTAGATTATTGGGTACCATAAGAACAATGGATTGCTTATGGTCTTGCAGCATTTATCTTAAGTCAATACAACAGTTTTGAGTTTTTAAGCCTGTGTCAAGGGCAGTGAAACAAGGGCCACATTCAGTGAAGTAGCCGTTTGTTTCTTTTTTAATGCACATTTAAGTGTCTCATTTTGGGGACTCAGATATACTGAGATGATTCAGTTAAATGCAGATTAATTTTCTGAAAAATCATGTCTGTCTGAGGAACAAGATCTAATAGAAAATATTAAAGGTTATTATGTGAAATTTGTTCTAGATAAGAGTAATGAGCAAACAATTTCCTTGTCTCTGTCACAGAGCAAATTCCCCTCTGACAGAGGTCCATTTTGTATAGCATCCTTCATACAAGCTTTGTTCCTGGGAGCCTGACAGGGCTCCACAATATAATTATAAAGTTATTAGGAGTAAGTAATACCAGAAGAGATACTCTAGAAGTGTAGATATGGAAGGGAAGGGATATGTTCAGATATGAAACAGAGAGAGACTGTAGCCCAGAGACATATGAAAACTGCTCAAAGGGGCTCTAGACAGAGGGGAAAAAATGATGGCCAGGACTCAAGGTGTGCAGGGAACAAGTGGAGGACTGAAGAGTAAAGCCTGGGCTTGAAAAGCAAGTGGAGCATCTCTGCCACCCAGTAAAACACAGGCAGGGAAGAGTTTAAAAGATAAAGGTGACCACTTAACAGTTTCAGATAACCAGGTGTCTCCCTGGGTCTTAGACTCCCATGTGCTCCTCAAAGGCTCATAATGTCCTTTTTTCCCCATCTTTACAGACTAAAACAGTTAAGTATAAGGTTATAAAATTTTACAGTATTTATTTTTTTAAAACAATATTTCTACCCCTTGAACTCTGAAATTTCTAATTACAATGAACTAACATTAATTCTGTGTTCTGCTCTGAAGCAAATCACCGCATTTCATTTTGCAGCTATGGACAATTTACTCCGTTACAGAAAGAAAAATAGGTGTCTGGATGAGTGTTTCCTTTAAACACATAATAATATCTCTTTACTGCTGACCCTTCCCTTTCCCAGTGAAGGGTCAGTGATTTTGGCCACAAACTGTTCTTCCGACACTAATGATATCTGAAGGTCCATGAGCAATTCAGACAGGAGCAATTTGTGTTGGTGTTGGTGTTATTCCCATTTCCTTGAAAATGGCTTTTCTGGGATGATATGAAGGCAGCAGCATGGGGGAGATGCTGTGTTATCACTTGAGTGGGGTACAGGGGTAGTTGGAGATCAGGGCTCCACAGCCAGATCCACGTGGGAGGGTGGCAGTGCCTGTGTGGGGCTCCCTCAGCTATTTTGCTGGCTGCTTGCTTGGCTTCCAGCACCAGCTTGCTGTGTTCAAGTATCTTTAACACACAATATCCTTGTGGAAGAAAGTGATCTCATGGTGGGATCAGTGAGCTCCGTTGGACTGTGTTGCGTGTAGTCAGGGAGACATCTGAGAAAGAACCACTGCTACCTCCTTGAGCAACGTTCTTTCCCCCAGCCTCTCCCTTAACCTTGCCCAGCAATGCCTTCAGGAGAGCTTGCCTTTCTCTTTTGCTGTGCTTCATATACAAAATCACACAATTTTACTAAACTAGCATGAAAGCTTGGACTCTGTTGTCCTCTGATTCCTTGCCTTGAGAAAGAGCTTTGAGTTACCTTTTTATTGTACACTGATTTATCTTTTGCTTTCTCAAGTAGCTGTTTCTCAAATAGTGGGTCAGGGGCTTAATGGGAGCATGGAAGTGGGCTGCCAGAAGACATTTATATATATTGCTGTTCCTCACTGAAGACAAAGCATGAATTCCAGAGGATTCGGTATTGCTGACAATTCAGCATCAGCTCAATCCTAAACTTTGCTGAGTGTTGAGCAGCCGAGAACAGCTAACACCAGAATGCAGTCTTACTTGCTGAAGCTTGAATCTCCATGTAATTGGTTCCCATGTTACTGAACTTACAAGGTCAAATTACATCCTCTTGCCTTAGCAGAGGAATTAAATCCTCTTGCCTTTCCATTGGCATGGTGCTGAGTCTGAAAGCTATGTGTCTCATGTTTGATAAGATCTGGAGGACCAAGCTCATCCACCTGCTTTCTTGGGCCTCCTATCTCCACCTAGTTGGAGACCTTCGAGTCTAGGGGACTAGTTGCAGGTCTTCAAGTGCCAAGCCCATAGGAAATGCTCACTGCAAAAACTTGGGCAGAAGTTAGGCTAGGTGAAAGCAGACCTTATTAGAGGGAGCAGGGGACGGTCATTTGGAAAGCTCTATGTATTTTCTGGTTGAGGTTTGGTTGGGAACAGCATAGCTTATGTTGCAATGCAGAGATGGAAAATTTGCTTTTATACCCTGAATATCAACTGTTCATGCCAGTTGTGGGAATTGTAACACTTGTGGAAACAGGTGCTTGTTCACCCCAGTGTTCACAGAAGGACTTTCTTCCCTACAAGAACCTCGGTTTGCAGAGAAAAGGCTATTTGTATATAAATAACTGCTATGCATGTTTCAGATTCCTGATGTCTATGAAGTTTCAATTACCCAGTAAAGGAGGGTGGAAAAAACAAGAAAAGAGTATCATGTGACTGATTCGTTTAAGAATTATATGGCCCCTCAACACTTGGGGATCTGTGTGTAGCTGGCCCTGCTACGCTTGTTTTCGTCTGGCTATTAACCTCTTTGTACAGATGGGGACCTGAGAAGTGAAAAGATGAAATGCCATATGACAGCCAAGCAGGAAAACTGTGGCTGAGTCACGGAGACAACTCACATTTCCTAAGGAATAAGCATTTAAAGCCATTTCTAGATGACAGAGGAACTGGGCAGGGAAAACCTAGCAGACCACAGAAAGTCAGAGATAAGGGAAACATCTTAAGGACTGGTGTAAAGGTATTATGAACCAGTCTCGTTGTGTGATTAAACGATTCCCATCAGTGGCGGTGTCACAAACAGAAAACATGTGGGCATTTCTGCCATTCCTCAGCCCCTGGCAGCCTGCTCCCTTCAGTACTTCTTGAGAGTCCCACCTCTCTGAGGCACTTGCGAAGTCCACAGAAATCAGCAGGAATGAAGGTTGGTCATGTTTGCCTTGTGAGAACACAGGTAATTGATGTTAGAGGAAAAAAATAATCAGGAAGGAAATGGTAAGAAAAAAGCATCTCAATTTATCAGTCTTGTCTCTACACTTCTTTCCCCATCTTCTGAGATGCCGCATGGCCATGGATTCGACACCATCATAAGGG